GAAGTTTAAATAAATTAGGGAAAATAACTATGACTACTACTGTTTTCTCAGATACGGCGGTTCAAAGTCAGTCAAGTTATCATGGAAAAGTCTACAATGTTATATAACAAGTTTAAGAATATGTTTTTGGTTGGTGAAGGAGATTCTGTCATCACTCAAGTGCTGAACAAATCTCTTGCTGAACAAAGACAGCATGAGGAAGCAAATAAAACCAAAGATCAGGGGAAGAAAGGGCCAAACAAAAAGCTAGAAAAGGAACAAACAGGTATGTGATACGGTCAGCTGCTTCTCTCCCTGCTTCTCAATTGTTTGCCAGGGTTGCTTTTGCAAATGGTTTTGTTAATGTTAGAAATGTAGGGTCCTCTCAGTAGTGAGGCTACACTGTACATTCACTGACCTTGAAAAAGCTGAAATATTATAGTAACAATGGGGATGCCATTAACACAGTACTTGTATACGACCTGCAAGAATGTTATCATGGGCATTATGAAGGAAACGTCTAACAAAAACATTGTTAATGACTTTTGAGGAAAATCAGAATGTTTTCTAGAGAACCAGCCAATTCCCTCCCTCCCTTATTTGCTTTAGCTAAAAAATAAAATGTATAGTTAGCATACGAGTAGAATTGCTGCATCCTAGGCAGAGCTGAAAGTGCTGCTTATTCCTTTCTGATCATAGCCAACATGTATTTTGGCCAATGTTTTCAGTGTCATTTAGTTACCCCAAGTATGTTATATACTGTATTAACAGTATATGACTTTTAATTAAATGGTAATGTGTTTGTTGATATAAGCTATATTCTACTGTGCTATAACAGTTGGCTGGTAATAGGTAGCATCTAAATGGAGTCAGGAGGAACAGTGATGACAGTCACTAGCAGACTATCCAAATAGATGGCTGATACACATCTGTGCTTTGTGATATGTCAATGAATAAAACTGTTACGAAGGCAGTGCATTTTAGATGCATATTGAGTCCTATACTCAAGATACAACACTGCAGGTTCCAAATGTATTAGATAAAGAGCTGCTTAATATGTACATGTTGTGGTCTTGTACAGCCTTTGTGTCAACCCAAGTATATTTAAAATAAACTCTAGACATTGTGGTTCAGAATTTACCTAAGGATAGAATAGCATTATCAGCCTCCCCAATTCAATGTTAAAAGCACTTTAGCAAGCATATGCTTATCTTTCAAGACAAAACAATAACAAAAAAAAAATCTCTCACTTATTTGATAGAAATTTATTAGTGGGTTTTTACAGGAAAATGCCCAGGCTTGTCATTTGGATACTTTAAGCACATTATTCTCTAAAGTACTATAAAAACAAAATTTGGTTCTCCAAAAATAGAATAAAAAACAAAAGTACATGCTAGTATACTACAGAGTTCTGCCATTTAACATTTTTCCTAAATGTAATGAGATTAGTAAATCCTCTGTCCATTGGGGGAAAAAAATCTTATTGTCCTGTTCTAGACTTTGAATGGTACAAATCAGTAGTACATCTTTTCATTGTTGTTTGAAATGTCAACCTAGTCATTTATTGAAAGGCTGAAGAGCCAGCACCTTGAGGGCCATGCTTTGACTTTTTGAGATAATTTGGTGTATCACTGCATAGTGCTAACAGTTTTTCCATTCTAAAGGAACAAAGAGCCTAAATGGAGGATCTGATGCTCAAGAGAGTAATCATCCACAACATAATGGTGATAGCAACGAAGAAAGCAAAGACAGCCGTGAGGCCAGCAGTAAGACAAAGTAAGGCATGTTATAACAGGTCCATTGAGTTAAGATCACAGTCAGGCTGGAGAGATGGCTCACATGTTAAGAGTGCTAGCTCTTCAGAGGATTTGGGGTTGATTTCCAGCAACCATATAGCAGCTCACAGCTGTCTGTAATGTACACTCAGGAAGAAGATTCATACACAATAGGAAAACATAAAGGTTCTTGCTTTGATGCTGAGTCTGGCTTCAAACTCTAGAGATAATTCTCCACCCTTGGCTTACCCAATTGCCGTAACTACAGAGGTGTACTATTGAGCTTTGCTTATCATATTTTTCTTATTCATGATTTTAGCACAATAAAGCCCTGAAGTTATTAGTATTAATAACATATCATATCATAGTGTGTATTTTGTATTTCTCCCTGAGACTCAACCATGGTAGGGACACACTATCACTGACCTCTATACCCAGTGACAGTTATATTTCTCAGACTCCTTTTACAAGCTCTCACTTGTATATTTCCCTGGCTGTCATGGAAATTGCAATGTAAAACTAGGCTAGTCTTGAACCCACAGAAATGTCTGCCTCTGGAGTGCTTGAATTGGAGCTGTGTGCTACATCAGCCTTACTAATTTTTAAAAAAGTTTTGAATCGAAAAGGCAGGAGGAAGACCTGGCTGTGTTCAGTGGTTAAGGCTCTGTGTTCAATCTCTATCCATCAGAAAATTGTAGCTTTCTACGAGTGAGAACCCCTCTCGTCTCCAACACCCTAAAAAGGTTTATTGAGACAAGGTCTCCTCCTTATATTATTGTACAGGTTGGCCTTGAACTTGTAGCAGTCCTCTAGCCACAGCTGGCTTGTGATTATAGATTAGACAATAAAATTGTCCCTATATTTACTCAGGAAAATGGATCTAGGTTGGGAACTCAATGAAGGAAAACAATTTTAATGTTGGCATAACAAAAGTTAGCGCCAGATCTTGAATGCGTCTTAGGATTATCTCACCAGATCTGTGTATTACTTTGGTAGCAATGTTTTGTGGGTCTTTTCCTTTTTTAAAATTAAATAGGACACAGATTTAATGTCCTTCTTGCTCAAGAGAAAACCCCCAACCCTAGTTGTAATGATTTTCTTTTTTCTCACTTTATTTTAGGCCACCTGGAGAAGAGAGAGAAGCTGAGATATCTCTGAAGGAGTCTACAGTAGAGAACTAGGCTGGCAGACTTGAGGTGTAGACAGTATGTGAGAAGTCTGTCATGAGTGACTTCATTTGAAATACTTAGGCTGCTGAAAGGTTTAAAGTTTTATAAGCATAGATTTTGATGTTTAAGTAGTTGGGGGGGAAGAAAAACCCTTTATATTTGTGTAAAAGTCAATTATTGCTACTTTTCCGTGTGCAGTATTAACAGCTCTGTCATCTAGTTTAAGAGTAAGGGAAACCTACTTAGAAAGGTTAACCTGCTTTGTAGACATGACTGTAGTGTATTTTCAGTTAGTGTGTATGTTAATGTGTAATTGGTAGTAGGGCAGTTACATTTTAAAACTGCTACTTGTATAAAACTTTCCTCTTTCCCAGATACCGTGGGTTTTGTGCATAGTTTTTACAGATATTGGATTTACCAGACTGTCTTTTCACTGTTTGTGGGTTTTTTAGAAGTTGAACATTTTTATGGATGATAAAATGAATGTTACTTCTAAGTACTCACTCCTTTTATCAGAAGTTACCCTCAGTCCATGTGCTGCATTATCTTGCCTCTTTATAATAATGTGTAGTTTGTATGACAACTAGATACCCACCAGGTTGTTATAGAAGGTACAAATTTGTTTACTTTTGAAAGTAATTTAGTTTTAGGACTGGGATTTCAGTGGCGTTAGAACTAAAGAGAACAGACTGGTTATATATACATATAAGAAGTCCATCTACAATCCTGTATAGCTACTAATCACAAAAACCTAAAACTAGTTTGTTTTTAATTTTACACTCATTAAGGTGTGTTTTTTTTTAAATTAGAATCAATCCATGATGCTTATACGTGATAAATAAGGAAACTAACCTAATTGAAAACATAGCCATATTGAAATGGGATTTTTAGTTTCTCTATCAGACATATCAGAGGATACAGAAAAATCAAACACCAGCTGCTCGAAGGTAGTAATCAGATAGTCCATACACACAAACGTGGACTATCACGCTGTTAAATTAAGGGATAACATTTCAAAGGTATTCTGAGTAATCAAGTCAGTTGTTGGTTTTTATTAGGTAGAAAAGTTCATCCTTATGCTTTGAAATTCCATAGGAAAGTGACTTAATACCAGTGTTTGTGTGTGATGCAATTAAATATGTTCTTGATTTCTCAGATAATTATTTTTTTCATCTATGTAAAACTTTTTTAATTACTTCAATAATTGGACTTTTGCTTTGATAGCTCTTACAATTTAACTACTGTCGTGAGCAAACGCTGTACATTATATATACATCAGTCTTCTGTTTTGTCCTTAGTACATTTTTAACTTGGACAAAAATTATTCTAGTTAAGCCATAAGTGTCAATGTGTAAATTGTTTTAATTAAAGTTTTTTCTACCAAACTCTATTAGTAGATTATTATTACTAAAGGAATTCTGGATTTCCTGGTAAGGAAGTAGTAGTGTTCTCCCTAGCTGTCACTAAGACCCTGCTAGGGGATACAGGAGCTATGCAGTAGTAAGCTCAGGAGAGAACTGTCACTTGCCTTGTGTCCCCTTTTCTTCCCTAACCACAGGTGTTAGTTTCAACAATAAGCTACAGACCATCCACCTTCAGAACATTTGACGGCACTCCTAGGTTATGTACCTACTTGGGAGGCTGCCTTGCTCTGACCATGTATGTTTATTTTCAAGCACAGCTGCCTTTTTAATGTGGAATAGTCAGTCTGTCAGGTTAATTCACAGACAAGCTATCATTCTCAAAACTGATAACAAAACATTTTTAGAATGTATTTGGTTAAAACAATGGCTGAACTAAGAGATCTAGCCAATGAGATAGCCACCTCTCCCACTGTGTACAGTAAGCATGTATAATGTGCATGTATGGACACCTATTTTGATTTCTCAGCTGCTTGGATCAATTTCAGATATCCCTCTTAATGAGAGAACCTGGTTGCAAGCCTGTATGTATAAAGAATTTGACCAGAGCTCATCTGACCACATTTGCTATTCTAGTTAGGAATTCAATAGAATAATAGATGTTACCAAGACCATGATGTGATACTCTAAAAATCTTCCTATTCATATCAACTTACCTCAGTAAAGATGCCAGGTGAAGACAAGTCTGCCATCCTGTATGCACAGCAAGGGCTTCAACGAACGAGTTTTATTCCTCTGGTCAGAGAATATGCAAATAGCAAAATTATAGCTTGAGACCCTTAAGAAATGAGAGTTACTAAAAATGTGCTTAAATTTGTGTCATGTAATTCTCCAACAGATATTAGAGATGACTGCCCCCTGCTGTAAAACTGCAAAGTATAATCACCCTTAAAGAATTGTGAAGGATAAGCAAGATGCTTGAGGAAACCTATTTTCCATGCAGGTGTATCCATAGGAATGTTCACTGACAAAGTTGTTCCATTCATATTTACCTATGTCCTTAAAGTGACTCATGAGATTTGATGTTATATTTAAGAGATTGATATTGGCATAAAGAAAATTGGGGGCTTTATAGCTTGTAAGTATAAAGTTGAAATTCTTTTGATGTGAACTAGTTGAGAAATCTATATAAGTGATAACTGCAGTAACATGGCTAGCCTTTCTTCATTTTTACCATCAAAGAAATGGAAGGTATGTGAACTTTCAGTGAAAAAGTAGAATAGCATTCTCAATAAATACATAAGGATTCCATAGAGTAATGTTTATCTGTCATCTTTGTCTAGTAAAATGGGGTAAATGGCATTATATATATATTAGGGATAACTTGCTGGAATTTACTTTGAGAGTACAAATATTAGTATAAGACCCACATGAACTGTAATAATCTAAGGACTGAGTAAAACCATTCATCACGAATATGTGATTATGCAGCAGAATTCTCAGGGTACTTAACACTGTTCAAAAACAAAGTAAAAACTTAGACGCAATGTAAGTTAGCCTTGGCAAGGAAATGGTACCTTATTGCCTACAGCACTAAATGAGAATACTTGTAGACGTACCACAAGCAGGCCCTTTGTCAGCTCCATGTCAGTCGCCATAATTGGATTTGTAACATTTACGTCCATGAGACGTGCTTCACCTTCTTTTAAACGTCAAGATCTTTTAAAATAGATGTTTAGGCTTCATTGGTTTATTTATATGATAATTGTTTGTTCTTAGCCATCCAGAGAAATGTGGGATTCGGCTGAATTTAATTTAAACCTACGACAGAGAAAGTAATAGTTCAAAGTCTGTTTTATATTACTATTATACATGTTAATTTTCTACCCCAAAAGTTTGCACAAAATCTTTTGATAGATTTGTTTAGAAAGGTTCTTTTTCTATAACTCAGAAGGACAACCCTTTGCTATCATGAAGGGACAGAAGACTGCACGAGCTGAGCCAGGACAAAGCTCTTCTCCTTAAGCAATTCTTACATGACGAAAGTATAAGTGAGCCAAGCTTCATGGTATGTCCATGCTAATGTAAAGTCTGCCAGTGTTTTCTCCAGCCATGGCTTTAAATAATATTCTAAACTCAGTGTATCGATCTCTGTGACTGTCAGGAAACGAGACCTCACTAACACTGTGTGACTTAGATTCATTGTCATCTCATGTGCCTAATGTCTGCTTTAAAGATATAAGAGCCCAATGTTAAATTGTAACTACTCGTGATTTTGTGTTGTTTATCAAATAATTTGTTTTTAATTTCTCCTTACTACAGATATTTGAAGGGTCTTTACCTTGGAAGCTTCACAGTAGAAGGTGTAGCTCTCACATCCTTCAAAGATTTCTTTAAAAAGACTATCATACGTGATGCATTATTAACTGCATTCCATCATTAGCAAAATCCATTCAGGGTACAGAATGCATAAGACTCGGAGAAAAGAATCAGAAGTTGTGTTTCTGACAACATTTATATATTCGAAATACAAAAAAGCATTTCTACATCTCAGTAACACCAACAACTTAAGTAAATTGTAATAAATAATGTAATATTAACTATGGTAGGAAAAAGAATTATATATATATATATATATATGTATATGTATGTATGTATGTATGTATACATATATGCACACACACTCTCTAATTAAAGGTTCCTGGGTCAACATAAGGATAAGCAAGGAATTCCCCTAGTTTGTTGCCTTCGGAATCATAGTGGAGCATTCTGAAGCAAACATCACAAAAGAAACATGGATCCTCTGGTGCAAAGGTGTCATTGTTCGTCACCCATCTGTAGTGAAAGAAAAAAATATAGTAGCAATTTAAAAAAAAAAATGCTTCAACATTCAACATTTGTGTTCTCTAATAGTGGTTGTCAACCTGTGGGTCGTGACCCCTTGGGGGAAAGGTTTGAAGGACTCTTTCATAGGGGTCACATAGCAGTTAGCTTGCAGATGAGATATTTATATTCCGACACATAATCAGTGGCCAAATGCAGTTATGAGTTAGCAACAAAAATAATTTTATAGTTGGGGGTCACCACCACATGAAGAACTGTATTAAAGGTTCACAGTGCAAGAGAGGTTGAGAACCACTGTCCTATAACAACACATAAAGAAAATTCTCACTACTGCGTCAACATACTATACCAACACAGTAGGGACACCAACAGAAAAAAATAAAACAATGCTGCAGAACTATTCCCTGAGATTCCTTCTTAAGGTAAGGAAATGGTCTATTAGAAAGCACCACACACTTGCCCAAATCACTGTCCTTTTAAGTTCTCCCTCACTCAGCTCCTATTAGTCCACTCTGTATGCTAAATACCCCAGCGGGCTGCCTTAATTTAGTAATGTAATCCAGGGTTGCCTTAAAACATGATCCCCTTGCCCTAGTTGTTGGGATTAGAAGGATGTGTCCAGATACCCAGATACTTAAAATGAGGCAAACTTACACATATTTATTAGTATAGAATAGAGAGAGAGAATATAGTATATAGAATTCTCTTTTTTGTTTTGTTTTTCGAGACAGGGTTTCTCTGTGTAGCCCTGGCTGTCCTGGAACTCACTCTGTAGACCAGGCTGGCCTCGAACTCAGAAATCCATCTGCCTTTGCCTCCCAAGTGCCGGAATTAAAGGTGTGTGCCACCACTGCCCGGCCAGAATTCTTTATATAGTGACCATGTCCATGCTATTCCAGTTATTTTACAATGTAGCAGATGATTCGAGACAACATCTTACCCTACTGTGCCATTAAAATATAGACATTTCTGCACAGGGGCCATGATACTGTGTATCATTCTTAGCAAGACCAGTGCAGTTTGGGGATGCAAGTGAGATTTGAGGATCTGAGATTGATTCATGCACTGGGATGTCACTGGTCACATGAAATCATAATCTGAATTAAGTTTCTCTTATTTTAGTCTTTTCTGAAAATCTGAACCAATTTCTGAATTTTCATTTTGGTAAATCATTTCTATTTTCCTAATCCTTTAGATAAATACTATGATAAGGAACTCAAAGGTGACTGAAAATACTAAATTCTCAACTATTTTCCTCAGTAGTTTCCAAACTTTTGGGGTCCAATTAATAGTAAGAATCAGCTGGGGGAAGGTGATGCACTCAAGAGGTGAAGGCAGAAATATCAGAAATTCAAAGTTCGAGTCTGTTTCCACAGATGGTTGAGGAGGACAGTCAGCTCAGGCTACATGAAGTTAAGAAAACATTGTCAGTGTAAAGGTACTGACTAAAGAGCCTGCACATGGTAATGTGCTAGACTCCCACCTTTTCACTTTTTATCCAGAAGGGAAGGGCTTGCTAAATTGCCCAGGCCAGCATTAAATTCAAACTCTTCTTGCCTCATCCTCATGAGTAATTACAGGTCCATATCACAATGACTGGTCAAAACAGAAAACCTAACTGGCTTTTTGTGCTAGTTATTTCTGTACTGAAAAAGATGAAACTGATTTTGTAATGACAAGCAAGAAGCTCCTTACAACCTTCATGTATGTTTCCTTGTCTTACAATGTTACAGGGTTATGACCTAGTGTCCACATGCTTAGTAGCAGGCAGCTGGCTCTGGGCTCAAGTCTTTGTACAAAACAATATGCTAACTTGAAGCAAACTGCACTGATAAAACCCTGAAACCTAAAACTGAAAGGTCTCCAGAGTACGAAATTACTATGAAAAGGAAAAAAATATACCTTATATAAAAAAAACATACCTTATATAAAGGAAAAAAAGTGTCACTCACCTAGCTGTATACATCTTACAGACAAAACATTTTCTGGTCCATAGCCAATGCTTCTTGGTAAGAAGGGGATAAAGTGTTCTATCCAAGCAATCGTCATGATGCACAAGCCTTTTATGAGGAAAACACATGAAGATAGTGAAATGCAACTCTACCTGTTCTCCAGCAACATAAAGAACATAGTTGACCTGTCATTATGCAGGCAGTATTTTACAGAATACCTACTGCTGGTATGTAACTTAGTAGTAGAGGTTTTGTCTAGCTTGCTTACTAACAGGCAATCATCTGCATCACTGAACACTTTCCCGAGAGAACTTTTCAGAATGAATATGGAATTGACTTCTCAATTCCCTTTATGTTAACATACTGCAGATAATGTTTTATTAAATGTATTCCTCTATCAGAGTTCTATTAGGGTTTTTTTTTTTTTTTTTGGTTTTTTGAGACAGGGTTTCTTTCTCTGTGTAGTCCTGACTGTCTTGCTGTCCTGGAACTCACTCTGTAGACCAGGCTGGCCTCGAACTCAGAAATCCGCCTGCCTCTGCCTCCCAAGTGCTGGGATTAAAGGTGTGCGCCACCACCACCTGGCGAATTCTATCAGTTTTAACATAGCAGTGTTATTTGTGGACTACTGTCTGGGTTTTCTGTGTCTGAGGTAGGTGTACAAGGTACTTTACATGCCTGTGTGTTCTCCATTTCCTCAGCCCATCAATTCTAAACTAAGCTATAAAAGTTTTTGAAAATTAGTTATTCAACTTCCTGCTATATAGAATGATTTTGATTAAATTGAGAAACTTAAAATGTTTCAATCCTCTAGTAAGTATTTCCATATACATCTATTAGGTAAGAGTCTCTTATTATGTAGTTCTGCCTGACTTAGAACTTGATACATAGACCAGGCTGGCCTACAACACACAGAAATCAGCCTGCCTCTGCCTCCCAAGTGCTGGGATTGATTATAGGCCCACATTACCATGTTTAGTCTAGGTTTTCCTAAAAAATTTTGTCTCCCATTTCCAACTGCATTAAAGTATACATTTGGTGCATCCAAGCTAAGCCACATTGGTAAATTACTTACACTTTTGTACTGTTAAAGAGAAAAGTAGTTAGATGTTGCCAAGCGTACTTCAATCAGTTCAATCCTCAGGACCCACATGGTGCAAGGACAGGCTTCTGCAATAGTCCTCTGACCTCTACGCTCCAGTTGGAACATATATCCTCTCCCCACTTCCAACTAATTTTTTTAAAAAGACATCTTTAAGGTAAAATATTCTGAATTATGTCACATACCTTATGTCTGTGATGACAACAACATGCTCACAGTCTCCCTGGTGACAGTATAAGTAAGGAAAGCCAAGTTTAATATGCAAGTCATTAAATGTGAAGTCTTCCATTCTGGCAGTCTGAAATTTTCCATATCCTCGATCATGGGACTCTGACCACTCTATAATAGTTCTGTTTGGGGGAAGGGCAAGGATAGAACATTATTATTAGAACTTGAACAGGAAAGAAAAGATTGTATGCAATCTGGCCTACTAAGTAAACGGTTGCCATCTAGAAGGGTTCTAGTGAATCTGACCAGTAGGCATCAGACCTGATGAGCTGGGTTCACACTGTTAGACTCCCATCAGCTTCCTTATCTCACATGCCATAGCACGCGGAAAAAAAGGTTCCTCCCTCAGGGTGGGGTTTGCAGGGAGATTAGACACCAAACTTTCATCTGTGTAGTAGTTCTTTTTTATTCTTGGGATATTGAATGTTTGTGTTTTAAAACATTGTCTCACATATATATAACACTGACTGCCATGAAACTCACTCTGTAGGACAGGCTGGCTTTGAACTTAAAAGAGATTTGCCTGCCTCTGCTTCCCTAGTTCCTTTTAAAGTCTTGTCACTAAGCAAAAATCTGTCTGCCCCCACTGATCCAGTATCCTCTAAGGGCGGGCCAGGTTTTTGGAAGGCTGTAAGATGTGTGTCACTTGAGTGAGAACACCAAGTGTAACAATGCCACATTTCATTCTCATTTTTTTGACAACAGGTCAACAGGTTTTTAAACAAAAACTTTAACATGTACTGAGATTCGAGTGTTCATACTTCTTAGCTTCAAATTCTAATTATGGTGCTGGGTGGTGGTGGCAGTCGTGCATGGATCTCTGTTAGATGCCAGGCTAGTTTGACAAGTTCCAGGACAGCCAGTGCTACAGAGAAACCTTGTCTTGAACTAAAGAGGAGGAGAGACAGGACAGACTAATTATGGCAAGTTCTGATAGCTATGACCCACAGAAGCTAAAACACTTTGGAACAAGTGTGAAAACTGGCTGGAAAATGGCTAGAGCCAGTACATGGGAGGATACGGCACTGTAGAGATGAACTTTCATATTCATATACGTAAACATCACACACATATCCGTATATATGAGACATGCAGAAAAAAAACACTGAGAAGAGGGTGGGAAGGTGGCCAGTGAGTAAAACTGCTCTTCCACAGGCCCTGCCATACTCCAGCTCCAAGGGATCCAGATTCCTTCTCTGGCTCTGCCACCACCTGTACTCACAAGCACACAGTGTCGCACACCACCAATATACACGTAATAATCTTTAAAACTAAAGAAAACTATTGAGCTATTATCATCTGAGATCAGTACCTTAGTGGGCCTAATCTTCGTTTAGAGGTATGAGCCATTCAAACTTAATTCCTCGAAGGAAGGGGATGGAATCCTTAAATATACAGTAGTAAGATTGATGGAAATGTCACTAATTTAAGAGAAATAGGCTGGGTGTTGCAGCACAGGTCTTTAATCCCAGCACTCAAGAGGCAGGAGGAAAAAAAGGGTGGGAGTTGACTAGAAACATTTGTGTAGTAGCTAGTTTTTAATTTGGGAGGTAGAGGCAGGAGGATGAACCAAGGTCTAGGCCATCAAAGGATACATAGTGAATCCCTTCCTCAAAACAAAAAAACAAGAAAACAAAACCAAAGACTTTGGGAATATTTTTGGGAGTAGTACCTGCTCAAGTCTCTGCATTCTGGGTATCTTTTGTCATTGTAAAATGTTCCTTCAAAATAAAAAAAAGCAGACTTGTATAGGTCCTACAAGAAAGCAGATAGTAGTTAATGAAAGTCCATTCATATAATTCAAATATTCACAATATACTATAAAACCACAAGAATACCAGACAACTCCTGTTGGGTCCTCTCTGCTACCACTCAATAAAACCTTGCTTCTTGGGTGGACACACACACAGGAGGGAGAGTTATGGCTCTTTTTCAACTTTATCCTATTTTAATCATTTAGGCTATTTTAATCATTAGGCTTGATTTAAACCTGTGTTCTGAGACTTGAGAGAGAAACCCAACTCGAATCTGGTCAGCTTCATTGTTCACTTACTCTGTGCAGCCTGCATGAACAGTTATTTTTCTATCAGAACTAGAAACAGCAGCAGTAGCTTTGATGCTTTCCTAATAATAACAAAGATTTCTAGTTATATATTTTCCTGGCATTTCTTTTATTTTCAGCTTTCTTACAAAAACTTTTCTATTTTCAGTAAATCTTAAGAGTGTGGATTGGTGGTGGTGGTGGTGGGGCAGGATTTCTTTGTGTAGCTTTTGCTGTCCTAGAACCCTGATCTGCCTCCTGAGTGATGGGATTAAAGACCTAAATCACCAGGATTTCTGTTCTTGGGCCATGTTATGTAATAGTAGGCACAAGTGGTCTCAGTCCTGTATCACACCACCAGGCTTCAAGGGGATGGCCAGGATCCTCACTATACAAGTCACTGAGTCCTCACGGCTTGCTGCATAGTTAAGATACAATACTTAAGTACTTAATGTCCTATCTGGCTGCTAGAACACACACCTGTCTTTTTAGTGTGCAGCATTCAGAACAGTAAGCTATGATCTAAGGGTCCAAGGGCTAGTGAGATGGCCCAAGAGGTAAAGTGACTGCTGACAAGCTTGGGGGACTTAAGTTTGACCATTGGGCATTCAAAGTAGAAGGGATGATGAATCCACTCTCACAAGTGGTCCTTGGACCTCCATACATGGGCATGGCACACACTTGTATGCAAGCAGATACAAATAAAATGTAAGAAAACATTGCAAAGGTAGGTAGGCATAGTGATGAATAAGAATAATCCCATTGTTAAGAATGCTGAGGCAAGAAGACTGCTATGAGTTTGATGTTAGTCTTGGCTACACAGTGAGTTCTGGGCAAGCCTAGGTTACACAGAAAGTTTTTTTTTTTTTTTTTTAAAGGTTTTTATTTATTTATTACATGCACGTACACTGTAGCTGTCTTCAAACACCCTGTAAGAGGGCATCAGATCTTATTGTGGATGGTTGTGAGCCACCATGTGGTTGCTGGGATTTGAACTCATGACCTCTGGAAGAGCAGTCAGTGCTCTTAACCACTGAGCCATCTCACCAGCCCCTACACAGAAAGTTTTAACATGGATGGATGGATAGACACATGCATGCCCTAACAATAACTATTGCCTCATTTTGGAAACAAAGTTTGGTATACATACAATTTTGTTGATCATACAACACTTGTATAAACCTCCGTTAGAAGTAACTTGAGCACCTTAATTCCTTCTCAGATAATTGCTTATTTATAAAGAAAATTCTAGAACAAAAGTAGTTTTTACCAATAACCTCTCCTCACTGTACAAAGAAGTAGATGGGCAGGTTTAGTAGTACCCATGTGCAATCCCAGCACTTGTGAAACTGAGGCAGAAGAATTGCAAATTCCAGGGTAGCATAGCATGGGCTACACTGGAAGACAATGTATTTGATACTTGATCAGAAAATACTTATACTGTTTACATGTTTGTTTTAAAAATACAGGTCCATTCCCAAAGCAAATCCTTTTCTACTTTAAAGCTAGAGACTTAAATGCATTGGAGTTATCCAAGTTCTGGCACTTCAACAATGGCTGGCATTTCAACAATGGCTGTTAACAGTCTAGCTCACTGTAAGAGCTTCAACTCACTGTACAACCAGCCTACAACCACTAGTGGGACACATGCCATGGAACCAACAAATTATCAGAACACGGGGCCTTATTTTCACTTTTCTTTGGGGTGCAATGGTGTTAACACACAAAATAGTTTTGGAAAAAGCAAAAAATATTAAACGTAAGTAATGAAGACATGAGGCTCATTATACTATTCCCCATATTGGTTATATATTTGAAATTTTCCCAACAGAAACCTTATTAATGAGAAAAAATAAACCCAACAGCCAACAATACTGTAAAATATAAATGTCAATGAAATAGTCTTTCTAAGGCTCATAAAGATGTTAACCTCAGCTGGGTATACACCTTTAATCCCAACATTTAGGAGGCAAAGGCAGGTGGATCTCTTAGTTCAAGGCCAGTTAGTTGGTCTACAAACCAAGTCCAGGACAGAGAAAACCTGTCTTGAAAAAAACAAAACAAAAAAGGCTCAAGCCAGTCTGTGGTGGTATACACCTTTAATTCCAGCATTTGAGAGGGTGAGGCACATAGATTTCTGTGAATTCAAGAAGAGTCTGGTCTACATAGTTTCAGGACAGCCAAGATTATAAAGAGAGACCCTGTTTCAAAAACGAAACAAAAACAAAAAACCCAGTAACAACAAAAAGATAAGTTCAGCCAATACTTCACTCATAGGAATCTGTCCTTCTAAATGCTTTTAACATCATAAACATACATTTCTAAGATATTGCTCAAGAACAAAAAGCAAAACAGATTTCTGAACAGATAATTTTCCCACGAGGCCCTGTGCTAGAAGCCTGCTGGTGATTAATCACATGGTGATTCATCAAATAAAGTCATCCACAGCCAGCAGTAAAGCAAAGAAACTGTGGGCTTTGAAACAAGAATGTGACTCTAGCCTCCACCACTGACTGCTGAACTTGAGCAGCTCAGGACTATACTCTTTTTCTTATTAAAATGGTGACAATTCTTTTTAAGGCCAGCATATACTAGGCACATGACATGTGCTCAATGATCAGCCTATTATTTTAGTAGACAAACAGAATGAATGTAGCCACAAATGTGTAAATATTAAGACAGTAGGGGTTAGATAGATTAGTTAGTGGTTACAAGTATTTGCTGCTTTTCCAAAGGAACTGAGTTTCATTCCCAGCACCTCCATAACTGCTCTGACCAATGCTGATAGGTACTACTACAAAAAGTGATTCTTCATGTTAATCTTTCTTTATCTTTTTCAAAAGAAAAGATCTCTGTATCTCTAGCTGTCCTGGAATTTGCTATGTAGGCCAGTGTTACAAAATATTTGATCACACCGTGATCCCCGAGATTAGTGTTATTTACTGGAAATTACTGGCTGCGGCATGGCTCAGCCCTTAGCACACACCTTTAATCCCAAAGGATGAAGGTAACGTTTGTAGAAGGAAGCACCCATGTTTGAAAGTGAGTGGCAGACAAAGTGACAAAGAGAAAGATTTGATAGACTAGGACATGCCTGCCCATTATGAGGAGAAAGGAGAGGGAAGCTACTTAAGGGACAGTGCAGAAAAGGAAAAAAGGCAGTTTTCCTGGGAGAGTCTTACAGAGACAGGTTGAAGAGAACAAGTTAGACATAGGTGAAGGCAGAAAGAGCCATAGAATGACAAGGGACAGAAGATTAGAACACATTGCTATGAGGCCAGGCAGAGCCATTCAGCAGAGGCAGAGAAGCCAGACTGAAGCAGTCAGCTTGGAGATAAATCCGAGCCACAAGAGCTGAGTTGAATCGGCGAGCCAGACATCAGAAAGAACAAGAAAGGGTGAGCTCATTCAGCAGAAAGTTTCAGAGGCTGAAAACATTCTAGGCCTAAATTAGATTGACTGCACAGAGGCTAGAAGCTTCCAGGACTAGGTTGCCTAGGTTAGCAGGTTGCGTCTGAGATGACAATTACATCAGGAGGAAAAAAAATACTTTTATTGACCAGGCTGGTCTTGAAATCACAGATCCACCTGCCTCTACCTTGTGAGTGCTAGGATTAAAGACATAAACCACTATACCCAGCTCACATTAATTTATTTATAGCCATATCTTCTTTTTTGGTAGGCTTATGAAAGCTTTCAAAAGATCAATGCTTTCTTCTGTGAAGAAAAGAGAAACCTATTTCCTTAAAATTCCATTTGTTTCTCTTTATCATTGCAGTTATCTCCACAAGCACTGACATGGCAGTTCAGTAGAATTTAAGGATCTTAAAACCATTTTCAACATAACCACAAACATAATCTTAGTGTAATCTTTTCATGAGCCATGATGCTCATCTCCATGTCAGTCACTGAAAAGACCAGAACATGGTGGGTCTGTAGGTCAGAGAGACAAAAACTGCTCCAGGACATTATAGTACACACTATGATGGACATGAAAAGCGGGCAGCCAAGTTTGGAAAGGTGACCATGACTCCTCCCCTGCCTCCAGAGACATGGTGATATGCTTCTTACCACACTGAAATGCTCAAAACAGGTGCATGGAGAAGACGCACAAATTCACTGCGTGAAACCTAATGGAGTGTTAGTTAATGGGACTCAAGAATCAAAGAACTACATGTACATAGCTGACGGAGGCAGGAGACTGACTTGATCCTTTTCCAAGTTCTACCTTCATCCTACTTGTTTCAGATGTCCTTTGATGGGCCTGCAGAGATGGCCTCTCCTTAGTGGGCAAAGAAATCCGGGGTCCTCTGCCAAGACTGCACCATGAAAAAGAACCAGAGCAATCCTTCTCTATCTTGAGATTCAGCAGTATCAGGCTGTTCTGTTTGCTTAGGTAAACTCTCACTTCTGAGGGTTTTGGGGAGCCTGCCTAATACTTAGCTCCTTTTCAAGAGGTACTGAGGTATTTTTGTCTCACAAGGAGTACCATTACCAGGAAACAACTGGAAAGATCAACTCCGTGTCATCTCCTGTCTGATATCACCCCGTGTGCTTTTCAGCCCTACAAGCAGTGAATAACAGGTGCAAATCTTGGTCAACTCCAAACTTTTCCTGGAGGTAGTAAAGGTGGACTGAAAATCTTACAGCATTTTAAACAGGAAAGAATGAAGACAACGCCAAAGCAACAATAAAGTTGAGGCTATAACTCAGTTCTAAGTGCTTACTTGGTTTAATTCCTAGGACCAACAAATGAAGGAAGGAAGCTACAGTGGTACTTCACTGTGACTATGAGAAAAGGAGAAAGAGAGCTAGATGATCAGCAGTAGCTCAGAAGGGTTGTGTTGTAGAACAGCTGTCAATGGTGAGAGGTAAGAAAATGAACACAGAACACTGCCTCTGAAAGGCTCTAGGGATGGCAGATGGGGAGACAAGACACATGCCTTGTCACATGGATAGTGAGAACACTCATTCAACACTTATGACCCTGGTGGAGCCATCACTATTTCCTTTGCTAGTACTTCTTTTTTTAAGGGGGAAAGGGAAGGTCATCTTACTTTGCTGATGTGCTCAGGGGCTTGGTCTGGAGCGTTGCTGAATTCTCCACCGATCTGGAGGTCACTGACACAGCAAATTGAATCTCTCAGTTCCGTGAGCTTCTGACTGCCCAATACCAACATTGTCTGGTATGGTTTGTGTTCTTTGTGCTAAAGTCAAACAGTAAATTAGTGCCCATTTTAAAAACCAGTTAACCAAGAATCCTACCAAGACATGTTAAAAGAAGTCTGGGCTTTGAAAGCTTAAAGACTTGCGCTGTTGGAGTCTGCTCTCTCTGCTTCCTGTTTGTTGTTTGATATGTGAGCCCTTAGCTCCCGAGCTTCCAGCCTCAGGGGCTTCCTGTTGCCTCTGCTTCTCTAGTACAGATGCTAACCTAGCCCTTCCATGAACTGCCTCCATCCTGGTGGTTGTCTCATAGCAATACAAAAGAAACACTGGTATCCTTGTTAAGTATCTTGTCAAAAGGGAACTTCCTTAGCATCTCAATAAAGTTCATTCGATTCCTCTACCAGCAAACAATTTAACAAAAACAACCAAATAAACAATAATTCATAGAATTAGAATCACTATGGAGGTGTATATATACTTTCAGCTTTTATTGCAACATCAGCTACACATTCCAATGTTACAAATGTAATCATTGGTTAAGAGATGTAAAATTTAACTTTTGAAATTGTTGGAACATTTATTAAAACAAAGAACTCACAAATACATCTTGTCTTAAAAAATAGGATGTCAGACATTTATTTTGAAACCTGAGATAGGACTTCAAATATTAAATGCTTTGTCAAAGGTCCTTTTAATGGACTTGTGGCCTCATAGTGATAAAGTGCCCCCCTAGGAGGCCATGGGGTCTAGGTTCTACCCCAATATTCAAAACTACTTAGCCATGAAAACCAGAAGGTTTCACCACTGACCTTATTAAATATAACAGGATATAAGATGTTCACAGATAGGATAAACTCTCCTTCTTCAATCATGTCTGCTGGATTTTCAGGTTTTTTTCCTAGTGCATGAGATTCCTGAAGATAGAAAACAAGACCTTGAAATCAGCCACTGTAACTCAGTTAAAAGGCAACATAGCACAGAGCCATCAGAGAAGGCTCTAGTCAACCTTGGGTCTGATGTCTAATTTAAAGTGAGGAATGGCCGGTATGACCCCCACCCTTCCTTCCTCCCTCCTACCCCTCCTCTCCTTTCTTTTTTTAGTTTTTTGAGACAGAGTTACTTTGTGTATCCTTGACTGTTCTAGAAGTAGTTCTGTAGATCAGGCTAGCCTCAAACTCACAGAGATCCACCTGCCTTTGCTTCCTGACTGCTGAGATTAAAGGCGTGAGCCACCACTGCCCAGTGAACGGTTACTCTCTTTATGTTCAGTTTTATCTACTATAATAACAGAAAATATTTTACAAAATTGTTTCTGGGAATATGTACATAAAAAGTAATCCCAGCATTTGGGAGGTTTGGTCAGGCTGATCTCTGTGAGCGCTCTCCTGCCAGCCTTGTTTACATAGTGACTTCCAGGACAGCCAGAACTAAATAGTGTCTCTAAGGAACAAAGAGTTAATTAGAGCTGGCAGATGGCTTAGTGGGTAAAGAGCTTGCTGTCAAGCCTGGCAGCCGAGTTTTTGATCCCAGAAACCCATACAGGGAAGAAGAGAACTACAAGTTGTGGCAGGTGTATATGTATATGTACACCCTCTCCAACAGTCTAACTCATTCTTAAGAAAAAGATGTAAATAAGTCTATTGAATAAAAGTGGTGGTTTGTAAATGCTGGCCCACAGGAAGTGGCACTATTAGGAGGTGTGGCCTTATTGGAAGAGGGGTAACCTTGTTAGAGGACATGTGTCACTGTGGAGGCAGGGCTTTGAGGTCTCAAAATATGCTTAAGTTTGACCAGTGTGATCCAGACTCTCATTCCTGGTTGCCTGCAGATCAAGATGTAGAACTCTTCGCTCCTCTAGCACCAAGTCTGCTCACTTACTGCCATGCTTCCCACCACAATGAATATGGACTGAACCCCTGAAACTGTAAGCCAGCCCCAATTAAATGTTGTCCTTTATAAGAGTTGCCTTTGCCTTGGTCATGGTGTCTCTTCACAGCAATAAAACCGTAACTAAGACAAAAAACAAATAAAATAAGATGCTAAGCCAGCTACTCTAAACATGGCCAATGAACTAACAGAAACCAGTTACTTTAATTATAGAAAATCAGCTTCCTCAACTGATTTAACAGCAGAGTTTCTCATCAGAAAAAAAGACAAGAAACAAGTCAAATGATATACTTCAAACCACAAAAGAAAACAGTTATCGAGAATTCTGTATCTGGCAAAACTGTGTATCCACTAGGAATGCCAAGGAGATGAAGACCCGTGCAGGCACACAGAGGTAAGGAGGCACTGCAGCAGCAGACCTTCAGACTAAAGGGAAGCCGCACAAACAGATAAGCACTGAGAAGATACTTTCAGTGCTGAAAAGGAAGGAGGTGGGAATCAAACATACATGACAAAATCAGTATTAAACAAGGAAATAATGGGAGAGCAGAGAACAGAGACAGTCGAAGAGCTGAATACACAAGTAAACCCTTCCTTCCCAGAAACTAGTGCAGCTGGTGAACAGAGGACACTCCCCTATTGAAAGGCCGACAGACTGGATTACAAAACTTTATTCAGCTATGCTATCTACAGGAGGCTCATTTTAGATATAAAGACACAAACAGGGTGAAAGTGAAAGGGGAGAGGATTTTGTAACAGGAGAAAATCGCTGTAGGCTGTTCTACTCTTAGACACAACAGGCCTTCAATTAAGATGAATCAAAGAAGGGTATTTATATTTTAATAAATGTTGCCATACAGCAGTGAAACATAAGATTACAGATCCTAAACTATACACAACAAAAGCTGAGAGAGTTTAAAAAACCAAAGCAATTCTGAACTTCGATATTTTACTTACAATACTAACAAGACTGCCTAGGCAGTGGGAGAAGCAAACACTACAAAGATTAGCACATAAATAAGCAAAACTCTCCACCCGACAGTAGCCTTCAAGTGCACACGAACCACTCTATAGGACAGATCACCAACTTCAAGGAAATTCATACAAAATATCCCCAATCACCAATAATACTAGGTATCAGTAACAAGGCAAGCTTAAAATCCCAAATGCTTGGGAGTCTTAGAAATACAATAGTACAGCCATGCATGGTGGTATGTGTCTGCTACCCCATCAAAGTGGGGACAGGAAGACTGGGGCAGGAAGACTTCAAAGTTTAAAGCCAGCCTAGGCTATCCAGAAAGACCCTTCTCAAAAACAAAACAAGGGGCTGGAGAGATGGCTCAGAGGCTAAGAGTATGCACTGCTCCTGCAGAGGACCTGAGTTGGGCTGGACCACTCACATAGGAAGCTTACAAGTGCCTATAAATCTAGCTCCCTCTAATCTCATGCCCTCTTCTGGCCTCCAGGGGTATGGAGGCATGGCTTTATGAACAACTCAAACAAAATTAGATCACAACACAAAACAAAAAACCCATTTGTAAAACAACCAATGAGTTATGGAGAAAATATACAGGGAAGTTAGGAAACACTGTGAGGCCTAGACATACTTAAGACAGAAGAGCTATGGTAAAAAAGCAATTTATATCTGGAAACATCTACACACAGAATAACTGTGTTAAGAAACTAACAAAAAGGACAACAAACTAATTCCAAAGTTAGCAGAAAAGAAGAAATAATATAAGGTAGAAAAAACACAGAATAGAAAAGTTAACAAAAGCAATATTCTGAGTGAGTGTATCTGTGGTAGTGTCAGATCCCTTGGAGGTTGTGATCTTCCCAACATGGGTGCTGGAAACCAAACTCAGATCCCTGGGAAGAGTAAAGGAGGGCTTTTAACACTAAACCATGGCTCCAGAACAAACATTAGTTCTTTTTTCCCTTCCCTCTCCCTCTCACTCCAGCCCAGCCCTGCTCACTCCAGCCCAGCCCTGCTCACTCTGGCCCAAAGGTTTTTATTTATTATATTTAAGTTCACTGTAGCTGAATTCAGACACCCCATAAGAGGGCATTAGATCTTATTATGGATGATAGTGAGCCGCCATGAAGTTGCCGGGATTTGAGCTCATAACCTCCAGAAGAGCAGTCAGTGCTCTTAATCGCTGAGCCATCTTACCAGCCCCACATTAATTCTTTAAAAACACTGAATTACTAAAATCAGAAGTAAAAGGAGAGGCTGTCCAGATGGCTCAGTAGGGGAAGGCACTGTCTTTGATGGCTGACAACCTCACTGTTGCAAACACCAGCTAAAGAGAAAGGGGAATTCTAGAAGATGCTGAAAAGAAGGCCAATTCTGTGCTAAAGTCTTTGGCTTTAGGTAATTGGGCAACTATGTCTTAATTATTTCACCATATGTGATGAGATCAAGATGGTAATTCTAGTGAAACACCCTATACACCGTGGAGATGGACATCTAAAACACACCCTTGGGCACGGTATGCAAGCACTCAGCCCAGACCAAATTTGTCTCTCTGTTCCTTTCCTGACTGCTCACAAAAGGGATCATGTGGACCTCAATGCTGAGAGACCTCTTAGTTTCTCCTGCTTCCTAGGAAGAAACATAGGCAGCAGTGAGGGAAACAGGGAAGAGAGGGATGAATGGAATCTTTAGACCACTGATTTAGCCACATAAAACAACTCTTGTCACCCTTTTCTGAAATTGCTGTTTCTAAAGTATCTTATTATCTTTGTATCAGCCTGTGCTAGAGAAATACTGAATAGCTTCCGTGTATTATTATTCTGTATCATTTTGAGTATCGGTGAGGTGATACAGGCCTTTAATCTGGGCACTGAGGAGATGGAGGTGGGCTGATCTCTCAATTCAAGATCAGTCTGCTCTACATAACAAGTTCCAGGCTAGCCAGAGCTACACAGTGAGACCCCTGAGGTCTTAATAAAACAAAAACAAAAAAGTACACACACACACACACACACACACACACACGAAACCATGCTTTTGGATGCCTTGCACTCCACCTGGTTGCTGTGTACAAAGGAATAAAGGCTAACCTTCGTTTTACACCACATATTAAAGTTGACTCAAACTGGGGCTAGAAAGGTGGTTCAACACTTAAGAACATTTACTGCTTTTGTAGAGGCCCATGGTTTGGTTCCCAGTAACTACATAGGGTTCACAAACATCTTTAAAACTCCAGTTCCAGAGATCCAACACCCTTTTCTGGCCTCTGTGGGCAACAAGGCATACAGGTAAAGACCTACATTCAGGCAAATACCCAAACATAAAACAAAATTTAAATAACAAAATAAAAATAAATCAAAATGAATCAAAGACCTAACCTACAAACTAAAACTCTAACACTCTACAGAGAAATCAAAGAACAATCTTTACAGTACTGGGTTAGGTGGTATTTCTTAAATATTCCAAAAGTCAATAAACAAAAAAATTCATATTCTTGACACCTGGCAACATGAAAAGAGTGAAAAAGACAATCTGCAGAAGGAGAGAAGATACTTTCAAGTTGTAAATATGGCATAGTCTAGCATCCAGAAACCTAATAATAATGAGACAAGGTACTTTAACTGTAAAGAATTAGAATAGATGTTTTTCAAAAAAAAAAAAAACATACAAACCACCAATAATTAAATAAAAGATGCTTGGCATCATTAGTCACTAGGGAGTATAAATCAAAATTACAAAATAAGAAAAATATCTACTGGGATTATGACACACTTGGGGCGAGGTGGAAAGCTGAGACTTACCATTTCATAAGCAAATGTTTCTTGTCTACAAGCACGGTCTATTGTGATGTTTTCTTCCCGATAGTCCAAGAGCCCCTTCCTCACACTGACGGAGACATGGAAGTAAAATGGTCAGCATACTCTCTACAATATTTATTTAAAATAGCCTTAAAAAATTATCTTATATGTGTGAATGCCTGCATATATGTCTGTGCACCACGTGTACTTGGTGCCTACAGGGCAGAAGACATCGGATCACTCCGAACCCGAGTTACAGAGCTATGAGCCTCTGTGCAGGTACCAGGAACTGAGTGTAGAGCAGCAAGTGTGTCTAACCACTGTGCCATCTCTAAGCCTTAGCATATAATATTTAACATCTGTTGTTTTAGCAGGGCTAGGAATCAAACCCAAAATTTCACATACACTAGGTAAGCAGTCTATTACTACACTATCCAGCCCCAGTCTTTTAACTTCTCATTTTAAACTTCTTTTAGACTTAAATTACAAAAATAACACCAAGAGTAATATAATACTCATCTCTCCCCCAAGCTTCCTCCTACAAATGTCTTCTATGATCACAAATCATGAACAGAAATTAACAGCAGAACAATGATTATTAGCTACAGATATTTTCCAGACCACACACAACTTTTAATTTAGGGTTTTCTTTTTTTTTCCTGTTCCAGATTTCTCTCTAGGATTTTACACGGCACTATTTTCCCTTTGTCTCTTTAAGCCTATTAGATTCCTTCATGATCCTGACACTGTTGAAGAGTGCAACTGATTCAGTTTACCGAATACCCTTTAAATTAAGGTGACTTCAGTTTAAATGTGACTGGAGAAGACAGCATCTTGAGAAGACCACTTACAAGACTGATGCACCTTCAGAGTGCAGCCCATCTCAAGAATCTGGTGTTAATAAGTCATGTTATTAAGGATGTTTGTACCAGCTAAGCTCTGTCTGCCAAATGCCTCATTTAGAACAATACTTTATTTACTCTGAAATAGATAAAGATTTGGAGGGAGGAAGATTTTGAGACAATACAAATACTGCGTCTTCATGCAGGAATTTTAGCACCCATTTGACAACCCCGACACCATTTACTATGGTACATGCCTAATGGTGTTCCTCCCCACATACTGGAATTCTACTGTAAAATAACCTGTCCCTACTCCTTTGCTCATTTCTGTTCACGTAAATTCCACTCACACTTATTTTATTGTATGGGTTAAAATCTATTATTTTGTTGCTCAAATAGTCATAAGTTGCTCCAAACATGCAACAGGTTCTGATCTTTTGTTTTTGATAGGAGAGGAGGGCATGCATTACTTGGTTTGTGGAACCACAGGCATTCAAACTCATTCTCTACTTTTTCTAGCTAAATCATGGCATTAAACTTTCAGGAACCTGAGTTCCTTTACTGGAGTGGGCGTTTTGTTTATTTTAAACCAAGGTCTCATGTAGCCCAATTTGGGCTTGAACCCACAATGAACTCTTGCTCTTCTAACCTCTATGTCCCATGTGATGAATTACAGATTACACTATCATGCCCAGTATCTAGGCACTGTGTGTTATGATTAGCAGAGTTACTGCTCCTAAGCTGTCTCAGCTGAGACAGGCAGGATGTATGTTAAACCACGCATGTACAAACACTTGTTATTTTTGGTGTTATGTATCTAAGATATGGATACTTTTATGTGCATGTGGTACGGGCATGTATGTGTGTGGATACATGTGAGTGTATGGAGGCCAAAAGTTGACAATGAGTGTCTTTATTATGCTTCATTCTTTTAATTAATCAATCATGACAGGGTTTTATTATTTAGCTCTGGAACCTGTAGACCATGCTGACCTTGAACTTGGAGATCGACATGCTACCATCCCTCAAGGCATACAACAGCACACCTGGTTGCACCTTGTTATTATTTTAAAATCATTATTTTGTGTTTAAGGGTGTTTTGCCTATACACATGTCTGTATACCACATGAGTGCCCAGTGATCATGGAAGCCAGAAGTATTAGCTCTGAGAAACGGGATTACAGATGAGAAGCACCATGTAGGTGCTGGGAATTGAACCGAGGTCCTCTGGAAGAGCAGCCCTGAGCTATCCCTGTATTGTACTGCTCTCAAGATCCCCATGTCTCTGCTTCACACACACTAGGCTGTGCATCACTGTCTCTTTTAGTGTGGGTGCTAGAGTAAGTTCAGTCTTCATGCAAGCACTTTCCTGACTAAGCCATCTCGGAAGCCTTCTATTTGGATACTTCAAATCCCAAAACCAAACCACCAGACTCATCATAGTGTTCAACTTACTTCTCTCCACAAGTGAGAAAGATGGCTCCAAGGACTGGCACCTATCTGTTCAGCTCCAGTAATCGTGAAAAGCAACTTCCCAGGTGCCACCTACGGTCTGGTAAATACTGAGGTGAGAAGGCCCTTCCCCTTCAGCCTTACTTCACCACCACTCAGACTCAGAGGAGCTCTCTGCATCCTCCTCACCACTGTGTACATTTGTAAGACACATGGATGGGCTCACTTGCTGGGTGTTTGTGCCCTGTTTTAGGTTTATGTACTCGAATGCAGGCATACATTTTCTTTGTTGACCATCAAGTAGTACATGTGAATGTGAGTGTGAGTGAGTGTGTGTGTGTGTGTGTAAGCCAAAGGCCAGTTTCTGGTGGTGTTCTTCAAGAGCTATCCATTTTTAAGTTTTATTTTATTCTTTTGGTTTTCTGAGACATGGTTTCTCTGTGTAGCCTTGGTCTTCTTGGAGCTCACTATATAGAGCAGGCTGGCCTCAAACTTACAAAGATCTCCCTGCCTCTGCCTCAAAAGTGCTGAGATTAAAGGCATGCGCCACCCCCACCCTGCTTAGTTTATTTTTATTTTTGATGAGGTCTCACTAGTCCAGGGTGGCCTAACACTCATGCTCTCTCTGTCTTAGCCTCCCAAGTGCAGGATTGCAGATGTGACCTATCACATTCAGCTTGCAAAATATTTGTATTATCTTAAACGCATCCATATAGGCGGGTATTCAATATACTATGGGAGATCCACACAGTAGAATAAACAGTGAAGCTACGATGATGGATGAGTCAGTGATTCCCAAGACATAGTTGTGAAGAAATCAAAGCCACACTATAGTAACTTTGGAAGGAAGGTAAACTGGGTACAGTTCACCAACTCTTATCTACAAATACACTTTCTGTAAAAACCTGTTCTGTAAAAATGAACCTTCACAGTTTAAGTATTTTTCTTTTGCCAACTAGCACTTGTTAAGTGTATAAATGCAGGAGAGAACGTGTATGTAGAACTTGAGGAAAGGTTTTGGCTCCTGGTGACATGCTAGCTCAGCACAGTCCTAAGGGCACACAGCTTCTCCACGTCAATACCCAGCTACTGCGCTGCACCTAGTGTACATAGGCTCTCCTTCCCACCGCTTCCCTGATTAGCTTTGCCTGGCACACAGATTTCTACCAAAGTGTCATCACTGCCTCTCAGTGAAACGTGGGCAGGCCCTCTCTCAATGGCTCTGGTCTAGGGGAAGAAAGGACCTGGTCCAGCACTCTCAGCCCTAGGGTAGGACGCGCCTTACATCTCTCTGCTCTACCCCTTACTCCTATTCCCTTTGTTGCTTCTGTCAGTGCCTCACTATTCGGAGCCTTCCTGAAAGTTTGCTCTGTTTTTGAAACTGGCAAGTTTTCCGAATAATCCAGGCTGGACAGGACTATTGTTTAGTCCCCCTGGTCTCAAACCTACAGGCAGGAACCACTAAGTCCAGCCATAAAGTTAATAGTCCTTTAGATTAAGCTTCCTCCACTAAAGTGACTGCTCTGTCTTTCCTCTTAATTGAACTGCCTGCTATAGGAGATAAAATGTACAAGCATCCACTGATTTGGACAAACAGTAAACCAAAGCTAGAGAGGTTGGCTATCTGCAGGGTCAGTGGGTAGGAAGTGAGGGAATGGGAACAGACTTGCAGGGACAAAGTGTGGCACTCTCGACCCCTCACTGCTGTGGCTACACTTCTTGTTTCATGTCCTAAGGTAGTCAGAGCAAATCAGTGGTTTCAGTTTTGTTCCTGGCTCTGGAAGGGGGTCAGAGCCAATGCTGCGTGCACGATCAGCAAGTGTTGTGCCACCAACTGCATCTTTATTTGGGGGTCTTTTGAGACAGGGTCTAATCATAGTCCAGGCAGTGACCCTTCCGCCTCAGCCTCTCAGAACAAGAAGGGGCTGTAATTGTGGTTCACATACAATATTTTTAAAAAACTTTTTAAATGTAAATCACCGGTTCACATACCTTCCCCACATTTTCCCATGGGGTGTTTTTGTCTCCATCTGCCACATAAACATTCTATCAGTTTCTTTTCACTTTCTATGAGTTTGGGTTCCTATTTTACTGCACTCAGATCTATCTCACAAGCCGATCTCAGTCTCTTCCTGCAGTAAGTTCTCTTTGGAGTCTCATTTTCTCCTGCGTCTTTGTGATATTTGGATTGGTTTACAAGATTCCTATTTTAATGGTGCTTTTTCTCTGTCATTCTAACAGGTTTTACTTTTCCACAAAATCCAAGGTTAGTTTTTATAGTTCTTTGTTTACTGTATGGACTGGAGTATATGGCCTCACGCTATGGTGGACGAAGGGAGGTCAGAGGATTTATGAGGAGCTGATTCTCTTCCCTTTACAATATGGACTCCAGGAACTGAACAAGGTTGTGAGGTCTGATGGCATATGCCTTCTTGGTGGATCAAAATCTACTTTTAAGACATTCCTAGTTTGGGTGACAGTTATGAATCTTACAATTTTGTAGTTCTTTCTTTCTTCCAGAACTCTTTTAGTTTGTTTTATCCTTTAAATGGTAATATTAGAGCAGTAAACAGTTTAAGCCACATCAGTGCAGAGGATGGGCACAGGTTTGAGGGAACAGATTTTACCATTAGCATAGACTGTCTTAACAATTCTCTCTCTGTCTGCAGAAATGAAAACCTGGTTTAAATAGTAAATACTAGGAGCTGGAGAGATGGATGTAGAGGCACATGAATCTTGGGAGTTCAAGTCAGCCTGGTCTATAGAGTGAGTTCCAAAAAAGAAAAGAAAGAGCAAAAGCAATCTTTAACCAAAAAAACCCAAAAAACAAAACAAAAAACCCTTAAATACCAAAGTTATTTAGCTTGTTATGATAAAAAGGATGGCACACAACAAAAAAACAATTTCTAACATTTTTCTTCTTTCCCTCTCAATGCCGACAAGAAGTTTCTTCATTAGAAAAAGAAAAAAAAAAAGCCGGGCGGTGGTGGCGCATGCCTTTAATCCCAGCACTTGGGAGGTAGAGGCAGGCGGATTTCTCAGTTCGAGGCCAGCCTGGTCTACAGAGTGAGTTCCAGGACAGCCAGGGCTACACAGAGAAACCCTGTCTCGAAAAACCAAAAAAAAAAAAGAAAAAAAAAAAAAAACCAGAGTGGCAAAACGTGTATTATACTTAAGGGATCTTATGTTTCTTTTTATAAATAGAGAGCCTGGAACTCATGCATGTAAACCAGGTTGGCCTTGACTTTCGGGCAATCCTCATTCCTATGTCTCTCAAATACTGGGATTACAAACATGAACCATCAATGGCTAGATTTTTATTTTTATTTTAAATTACTGACAGGAGTTTTAGGGAAAGACAAGCATAGGGCTAGATTTAGGCTTTTGAAAAAATTCCAACATTTTACAAGGTTATTAGGATTAATTTGTTAAGTTTTAAATACAATAGCTTCCCCACACCAGCTGAGGAATAGACTCTTTTGTCAACACACACACAAATATACACAAAACATGAACACATGCACACACAAACACACATATACAAATGAAACATGAATACACAAACACACACATAAACACACAATCAAAACATGAATACACAACTACATAGAAACATACAAACACCACCACCACTACCACCCCCATACCCCGACAAATACTTGACGGGAGTAACAGAAGAACTCAGGAATGACAAATACAGCTGAGGCTGTTTAAATTAGTGGGCTACAAACCACAAGTTATAAATTTCTAATATTATCTATCATTGAGTAATGGTGCTCAAAATGTGTTAAGCAGGCTAAAATGGATCTCTAATAAGTGATAAGCAATCTGCAAAATCAAAGTAGGCACTTAGAAACTTTTACAAGTTGACAGCATTTTTATATCTGAATTTTGCAATAATAAAAATTGGACTTTTATGTTAGCAGTTTGGTTTAATTTTCTCCATTTAGTAATTTATTGTTATAATTATATTTAAGAAGGGATTATTATTATTGTATTATATTTGAGACAGGATCTCACATTTAATTCAAGCTGGCCTGGAACTTAGTCTGGCCTTGACTTCATTGTGATTTGTTTAGCTCAGCCTTTCTGAGTGCTTGGCCACTGTCCCAGGATTAGGAATTCATTTTTACAGTATTTTACAAATAAAATGACTCCACTGAAGATTAAAAATTAAGAAACAAAATAATGGTGCTTGTTTATATTTTTGAGACATCAAGTAGGCCTGGCTGGCCTGGAACTCAGTATGTAGCCCAGGCTGGCCTCAAGTTTACAGAGATATGCCTGTTTCTGCCTCCCTAGGATTAAAGGTGTATTGTCATCCCTAGCCACAACTGGTTCTTTACCACGGTATTTTGAGAAACACTATGAGTATCTAGCTTGCATTCCAAGTCTAAGTAGATAAAGTCTACATTAAAAAATAAATGCAAGCCAGGCAGTGGTGGCACACGCCTTTAATCCCAGCACTTGGGAGGCAGATGAAGACAGACTACAGAGGTCAAGGCCAGCCTGGTCTACAGAGTGAATTCCAGGACAGCCAGGGCTACACAGAGAAACCATCTCGAAAAACCAATAAATAAATAAATAAATAAATAAATAAATAAATAAATAAATGTGAAAGTACTAGATATTAGGGATTTTGTGTTCTTAATGTTTTTCTTTAGATGTAAGAATATCACCCTGGTTATGCAGAATGATACTTTGGGTTTTTTTTTTTTTTGGAGCTATACGCTGATGGATAAATTATCACGGTATCTGAATGGAAGAGCTAGGGAGAAGAACACACAATTGTATCCCATCCTCACAGAGCTAAAGAAAGGATGTCCAAATGTTTAAAACAACAACAATCAGTCATCAATCATCAGTGAACTCACTAGGTAGCTAAGGCTAAGCTCTAATTTACATCAATTTTTCTGACTCAGCCTCCTGAATGCTAGGTTGAATTTAAGTGGCAGAGAGGTGGAGAACTATACGATACTTTCCAAAGTAAAATATTCAGAGTGTTCAGATAAACAGCAGAAGGGCTAACTGTAGTTCAGTAGTAGGTCGTGCTTCAGCTCTGTGCTTCATCTCCCGCACCAAAACAAACAGCATATAACAAAACAAAACCATACCTTAAAGTCACTAGGTCAGTGTTTTCTGGGATGACTTCTGGGTCTTCATCTTCACCGAGGCATCTCAGTTTATCAAGGCTTAGAAAGAGGGAGGGGTTGGGAAAGGGAGAAAGGAAAAGCAACGTTTTATGATCAGCGATGCATTTTTCAACAGCGGGTCAGAGCTTGTCCTAAACACATCATTGAATAATTAAGTCTTAGGAAATACAGCAGGCAGCTCAAAGGAGGCCAGAATTCAAGACAATGGTTTCTGTGACAATGTTATACTGAACAGGATATATGTTCATTTGAGGACAGCCAGGACTGTCAAAAAGAGAAGGACCATTACAAGTCAGTTTTTGTATTTCTACCCCCAGGTAAGAAACTTTTGGGGAGATTTTAGTTAATAACATATTCATGAGAACCGCTAGAGACCATGATTAATCAAGGTTTTAACCCTGCTCTGTTTAAGACTCCTCCATCCTCACTTACTCCCATTGTCCAAATATCAGTGACAGATATACACCGCTGTTACTTCAACAAGCACCTTAAAGATCAGAGAATAGAAGTCTGTTGTGCAGTTGTAGTGTCCCGTTACTAGATCCACCCTCAGAAAAGTGCTTTTGGACCCTAGGACCTCTTCTAGCCTTCCGGAAAGGATTTAGTGGGACGATGGTTAAGGGTCCCCGGGAAGCGCAGGGACGAGGCTGAGCCCTGTGAGATCCACGCAGAGCCCTGAGACCGCACACTCACCCGCACACGACCCTCAGCTCTGCCGCCGCGTCCAGACTGCAGCCCAGATCCGCAGCTACCGCAGCATCCTCAAAGGCATCGTTGGATGCTCCTCCGTCCGTCGGCTGCGCGGCTGCTTGCGGTTCGCTCAGCGACAAATCCTGGGGCCCTAGTCGGCCGCGCCACAGCTCCCCAAAGGCGCCCACGTGGAACACGCGCGTGTGCAACTCAGGAAGCTCGTACTCTGGAAAGCTGCTGAGGTTCGCACTGGGGACTGGGTGCTGTGGGACACCCGCACAGCCGCCCTGCGGGTCCTCCGCCATGTCAACCACGATCCCTTCCGGCAAAAGCTGGCGTGCAGGCGTCGCGGGGCGTGACGGGATTTGTAGTTTCGCAGGGCTCCGGGGCGGCGGGAAGTTGCGTGAGCTGTGCTTCAGAAACTACATTTCCCGGCAGGCTGACTACCGCCTGGGCGCGGCTGGGTCGCTGTGGGCAGGGCTGGGTGCATTGTTCTCTGGGCTTGTCGGAGGGCGGTGCCGCTTGCTGTGTTCGGGGCTGACCTGGTACTGGGACCCATTATTATCTAAAGACTCAATCACTGGGCCCCCTCTCATAGTTTCCTCAAATCTGGTTCGTAGGGACGGGACTCATATACATAAAATAAATAAATAAGTAAATAAATATTTTTTTAAAAGTAAAACTTAAAAAAAAAAAAGTAAAACTAAATTTATAAAAATGGATGTAAAGCTTGCTTGCTACAGCTTTATGACATTTATTTAAAACGCTGTAGCAGGTAGCTCAGAGGTCTGCATTTACTTAGGGTTAATTGATTTTGGTCTTTTGTTTGGGTCATGTGCTTCTTTGTATGTTTTATACTGTAGGTAGAGGGACTGAGATGTGATCATTTAAAAAAAAAAAAAAACAAACAGCCACCTCTTTAGGGCTTTGCATCCTGGTTTCATGAGTAAGTCCCCCACCAGTCAGCCCTGTTGTAGGTTCTACATAAAATGGTTCTCAGCCTGTGGGTCATGACATTTTTGGAGGGCAGTGTCACATGACCCTTTCACAGGGTTGCATATCAGATATCCTGCATATTATGATTCATAACAGTAGCAAAATTACAGTTAAGTGCAACAAAAATAATTTTATGCTTTGGGATCACCACAACATGAGGAACTGTATTAGAGGGTCACAGCATCAGGAAGGTTGGGAACCACTGCTCTAGGATCTTTCAGATCTCTGATTTCTTGCTTCCGTGCTATCTGCCTATAAAGCTATTCCATTGTCAGCCATTCCAAAGTCAGCTAATGGTCTCACCAGTGCTTAAAATCAGACGAAAGAGAAACTTGACTCAAGGAAAGTGCTCAGCTAATCTGAACTTTATTTTAGAGGCGAAAGTGTGTCTGCAGAAGGAGACCGTTGAGATAGCAGAGTGTAGCATGGGTGTTAGTAATCTGTCTAAACTCCACCTCCACAGTCACCTGACAACAGCCAGGTATGCTCCTCCCCACAGTTACCTGGCAACAGCCAGGTAGGCCTGCCCACTATAAAAGGGGCTACTTGCCCCCTCCTCTCTCTCTTTGTTCTCATGGTCCCTTGACCCTGCGCCTGCAGGTTCTCCATCCCCTCTCCCCTCCCCCGTCCCTTCCCCCTCTCTCCACGTGGTCATGGCCGGCCTCTACTCCTCTCTCTCCTCTCGCTTACTCTCTCTCTTAATAAACCTCCCCTCGTGGAACAGTCTGGTCTGCTGTGATCTGTTACAAGCTGCTCCTGAAAACCTTTCAATGGGTCTCAAAGGCTCCCATTTTAGGTGTTTTGATGGAGACAGACAGAGAAGCCAGTGGGCTAAGATGTAGAAGAACTCCTTCACAAGGCCATTGCACTAATCTGAGTTATAATTGCCTGAATCTGAGTTTTATAAATTTGGTGGAGGATTCTGACTTTCTTCCTTCCTTCCTTCCTTCCTTCCTTCCTTCCTTCCTTCCTTTCTTTCTTTCTTTCTTTTTTTAAAGATTCACTTTTTTTTTTTTAATGAGTACACAGCAGCTATCTTTTAGACACACACCAGAAGAGTGTGTTGGATCCTGTTACAGATAGTTGTGAGCCACCATGTGGTTGCTGGGAATTGAACTCAGAACCTCAGAAAGAGCAATTAGTGCTCTTAGCCTTTGAGCCATCTCTCCAGCTCCCGGATTCTGACTTTCTTAATCATTGTATGTAGAAGCTTTAAAAAAAATGGAAAGATGCCATACACAGAACATACTTCAATGCTGAAAAGCAAATAATGAAAGCGATCAAGAGAAGTACCCAGTTCCCCACAGAGAAGTGTCTGTCTACAAGGCACAACCTGTTGGGGTTTAGCTAAGACTTAGGATTTTTTCTTGTTATATTTGCTTCTATTGCTCTGTTTCTGTAGTATATCCATACATTAATAGAAAAATTTCGCCGGGCAGTGATTGCGCACGCCTTTAATCCCAGCACTTGGGAGGCAGAGACAGGCAGATTTCTGAGTTCAGGGCCAGCCTGGTCTACAGAGTGAGTTCCAGGACAGCCAGGGCTACACAGAGAAACCCTATCTCGAAAGAAAAAAAATAGCAAAATTTCATAGATTATGAGGGCTTTCAGGCTGCATTCACTGAGTGGCTGCCAGTGTCTTCCTCAGCAGCAGTGGTACATGGGACATGATCTTGAATAGATACGAAGGATAACTTTTCTCATTCTTTTTCTACTTAGCTCACATCCAAAATTCTATGTGATAAGAGACGCTGGTGAGGATGTACTAGTGTATGCACAAGCTCCCTGATTGGTTATCTAATACCAAACGGTCAGTCCTAAAAACTACACACGTACAAGTAACACTAAATTGTGGATTGCTGTCTGTATGCAGGTGAGGGCAGGCACAAGATAAGGTGAGAGCCTGTGAATGGGCAGTGGACAGAGAAGGAGGGTTGAGAGCTTTAGAGATGAGTACAGACAGACAGAGAGGAGAAAGGGAGATGGAGACGAGGAGACAAGATGGAATCTTAGGGGAGGAAGAGGAACCAGAACCACGCAGTCCTGGGAGCCATAGGTATTGGGGATTTCTTAGGTGATTAAATAATAAGTAGGATACGTTTGCCCATCTAGCTGTGTAGCTTGTGTTTATATCAACTGAGTTTTAGTTCTTTATGTGGGCGTTTTGTGGGTTGAGAAATTACTGATGTAAATCTTACTGATAAATTACAAGCCTCTAGAGTTTTGATTTTATAAGGTTTGATTTTATAAGTTTTGGTTTTATAAGGTGGGTTTGTGACAGCTAACCAGAGGGGGCGGATGGTTGAGAATGCAAGCAGGATCAGCAGCAAGAGAACAGAGTTGGGTGGCTGCTGCATGGGGACCATAGGACCTTGGGGGCAGGGAAACATAGCCAGTACTAGGATGTGTACATTTTTTTATTTCATGCAACACTAAATGGTTTCAACAGGATTTATTTATATCTTTATATGTATGTATATGTAGAACATATAATAATAACTAAAGAGAAAGGGGAAAATAATCATTTTAAACTTTTTAAAGTGGGATATGCAAGAATCACTAGAAATACAAATTTTTATTAGTTATAAGGGAGTGCACTCCAACAGTGGCACGTATATGGAGGCTGGAAGGCTGAGTTTATGAAGTACACTCTCTCCTATCTTTTCAGGGGTTCCAGGGATTGAACTCAGGTGGCCAGGCTTATGTAGCAAGCTTCTGTATCCACAGATCCATCTCACCAATCCATGACCTAGTTTTGCTATTAAAAGTTAGGCACGGGGCTGGGGATATGGCTCAGCTGGTAACTGCTAACTCCATAACCATGAGGACCAGAGTCTGAGTCCTAGCTCCCATGGGAAAGGCGGCTGCAGCAGTGCACACCTGCACTTCCGGGACTCGGGAGGCAGAGTAGGAGGAGCCTGAGGGCTTCCTGGCTAGCCAGGCTAGCTGATTCAGTAAGCTCTAGGTTCAATGAGAGCTCCTGCCTCAAAAACTAAGGTGGAGAGCAATTGGGGAAAATACCCCATGTCAACCACTGGTCTCCACATTCGTGTGTGTGTGTGTGTGTGTGTGTGTGTGTGTGTATGCATATGCACACCTCCTGAATGCAAACACACACATACATACAGAGGGATATATGTACATAGACATATACAATCCACAAACAAAACAGAAGTACAAAATATTTTCTCTTTATGAGAACTTCCCTTAGCTGCTTTGAATAACTCCATTGCTGAGGAACGTTCTTCGATGCCTGACTTTGCCTGTTGCCTCCTCCCATGAGCTCAGCCCAGTTTCTCAGGGTATGGGACCCAGCTCCACGATGCGCCTGTGGGCCTTTGATAATTATGTCTCCACAGCACAGCCAGCAAGGCGCTTCCTGTAATGTTTCCGTGTTGTGTTGTTGACATTCTGCGCATGCGTTTGTGGTCCACACACAGGCTCCCCTTCCAGCTGGAAGGACTCTCCTTTTATCTAGAAGTTGCTTAAAGGAAATGCTCCACTTCTCTCCAAGTCAGGGAGGGTAGGAAGGAGGGAGGAGTCTGTTTGCTCACATCTTCAAACACACTGTGTTTTGGGGATGCCAGCAGGACTGTTTTAATTTGCTCCCCACAAAGGCAGACTCCTGTTGCTTTTCCTGAGATCCTGAGGGAAGAGTGTTTGTCTTTAATGTCAGGCAGGGAGATAGTGCAGCTGTGTTTATGGTGGGAGGCACCTGTAATTTATCCTCTAACACAATGGTAAGAAAGATTAGCTGCATCCCTGATCCTCCCCTCCCCCAACTCTGTACAGATCTGTATTGGTTCTCTTTTTTTCCCTTTGTTTAAAGATCCAACTCCTCCAAACATCAGGAAGGTGGTTGGAAAAACAGTATATATACTTGGAATCCCTGAAAATGCTACGTCAGAATGTGAACATATACTAAATTCAATGTAAAAAACTTGGACAAGTAAGGAAGACTGGAGCTACCCTGTTGTCTAAACGCTGGCAGGGTGGGTGTGTCGTAGGCTTGTGGGATCTGAGCTGATCCTGGCCTGCACATTCCTGCTCCCTTATTCTTTCATGGTCTTGCTGTTTTTCTACAGTGAATCATCCTAAAGGTTATTATCATGGGGAAAAAAAGGGCTTCCAAGGATGTTAAGGTATGAGTTCAGTTAAACCCACTTGGGCTTGGGGTTGAAGTAGGAGCATAGTGTGCGGACCGGCTAGGACAGTTTTTCTCCTCTCTGGTGTTTAGAATGCGGAGACGGCCTGGTGGAAGAAAGATTTCCTGGCATGGTGGAAGTCCTGAGTTTAATTCCTAGTGCTTAGAAAACAAA